TTTTCACAAACAAGGTGGTATCAACTCTTCCTCTAGAAAAACCATTTGCAAGCAAAAAACTACTTAATCTTTCATACCAAGCTCTAGGAGCTTGTTTTAAACCATATAAAGCCTTTGAACGTTTATAAACATGGTTTGGATAAGATGGATCTTCAAAACCGGGAGGTTGCTCAACATAAACCTCTTCTGGAATATAACCATTTAGAAAAGCACTTTTAACATCCGTTTGATAAAGTGTAAAACCTTTAAAGCATGCAAAAGCCAATAACATTCTAATTGCTTCAAGTCTAGCTACCAAGGCAAAAGTCTCATCAAAATCAATTCCTTCCTCTTGACAATAGCCTTTAACAACTAGTCTTGCCTTGTTTCTAACCACAATTCCATTCTCATCTAACTTATTTCTAAAAACCCATTTAGTTCCTATGATGGGATGGTCTTTAGATCTAGAAACAAGATTCCAAACCTTATTTCTTTCAAATTGAGCTAATTCTTCTTGCATAGCCATCACCCAATTAGGATCATTTAAACTATCATCAAGATTATTTGGTTCAATTTGAGATATAAAGGCAATGAAAGCACAAGTATTATGAGCATGAGATCTAGTAGTTACCTCTTTTGATGGATCCCCAAGAATTTCATTACCTTTGACATAGGATCTCTCTTGGGAAAGTTGGTTCTCTTAGCTCATGTGTTTGTTGCACTTCTTCATGTCTGTCCTCCTCATTTTTCTCATCTTGAGCTTCCTTGGTGTTGTCCTCCTTGAGATTTATATCTTTTATTTGTTCTCCAATGGCATCTACATTATCATCATTACAAGACTTTCTAGAGCAAATAGGGTTAGTCTCATCAAATACCACATGAATAGATTCCTCAACAACTTTAGTACATTTATTATACACACGGTAAGCTTTACTAGAAGTAGAGTATCCAACAAAGATGCCTTCATCACTTTTAGAATCATATTTTCCAAGAGAGTCCTTTCCATTGTTCAAGACAAAGCATTTACAACCAAAAGCTCTAAAGTAGGAAATCTTAGGTTTTCTTCCTTTGTAAATTTCATAGGGGGTTTTATTGAGAATAGGCCTCACTATAACTCTATTCAACAAATAACAAGAGGTTGCAATGACTTCGGCCCAAAAGGATTTTGGCAAATCATTCTCACAAATCATAGTCCTTGCCATTCCTCAATAGTACGATTTTTCCGTTCAACCACCCCATTTTGTTGAGGAGTTCTAGGGGCTGAAAAATTATGATCAATACCATGTTCAATGCAAAAATCTTCAAAGTCATTATTTTCAAATTCTCCCCCATGATCACTTCTAATAGAAACAATAGGTAAACATTTCTCATTTTGAAGCTTTTTATAAAGACATTTGAAAGCATCAAGTGCATCATTTTTATGTGCAAGAAAAGCAACCCATGTAAATCTAGAAGAGTCATCAACTACAACAAGCACATATGATTTTCCTCCAATGCTTAGAGTGCGCATAGGTCCAAACAAATCCATATGAAGTAACTCAAGAGGTGATGGGAATCAAGATGACAGCATATCTACTACGTCATGTGATCCATTACACACCCAAGGAGGTCCAGTCACGTGAGTTAGAGCTAAGAAGATGCGTGAAATTTTAAATGGCCTTATTGAGCAGATCTGGGTTGAAAACAACATACAACAAGCAAATCGAAGCTTGGATGATTATCAAGGCATGGTAAACATCATTGAAGTTCAAGAGAAGCTTAGTTGAGGTCATTTGCACGGAATTACACAGTTTGCATCAAAATCGCACAGAACTACCGCAATTTGTAGCAAACTGATATTTTGTGTTATTTTAGGTTATTTTTAGTGATTTTCACGTTTTTTGTATTATTTTTAGGCTGAACATTCGCTTATTTGAAGCCCAATT